AACGGTCAGCCTTGTGGCTGCAGTAGGAAAAGTGAAGTAGAAACTCTGTTTCTTTGTTGCCATGGCGCCGGTCGGTGATGATGTAGCCGGCCTCCTGAAATCCGTCCATGGAAGGAGGGTCTTGCGTACGTCGACCGGGAAACTCGTCGGATTCCGCTGAAACAAAAGGAGCGAGTTTGGAACAGTGGAACACCGTGTGGACGGGCAAGTGAGGTGGCACCGCGATGCGGAATGAGGGCCCATCGGGATCATCAGCAGCTGCAGAGAGAATGCGCCAAGGCCACATCCACTTGGGAAGGAGCTTGCGAGAGATGTCTTGCTCAAGGCTGAACTCCGCTGTGGAGACCCAAACCAGATCGCCGGCGYGGAACGGGCAAGGAAGGCGATTGCGGTTGGCTTGACGGCTCATCCGTATTTGCGTCTTCGACATCTGATCCCGTGCCTTGACAAGAAGCTCTTGCATGCGACGAAGGAACGCAAGATGGTCGTCGCTCTCGGCTGTGCGCGACAAAGTAGCGTCCAGCGGCGATGAGATGGGTGAACCATGCTCAAACTCGAACGGCGACATCCCGATAGCCGGGTGGATCGATGAGTTGTAAGCCAACTCAACGTCTGGCAAGCGCTCAACCCAATCAACCTGGTCGGGACGGATGAGAGTGCGGAGAAGGACTTGAGCGGTTGATGCGCCCTTTCCGTTTGACCATCGGTTTGCGGGTGGCGAGCCGAACTCGGCCTCAAAGATGAGCCCCATCGCTTGACGAGGGCGACCCAAAAGTCGGAGAGAAAGCGATTGTCCCGGTTGCAAACGATCTCCTTGGGGTAGCCCTTGGAGCGAATCCAACCGGTGTATAAGACCTCGGCTAACTCCGGTGTCTTTGTGTGATAGCGGCAAGGCAAAAACATGGCGTACTTGGTGAGGCGGTCGACGACCGTGAGGATCCCGTCAACGCCGGTCTTGTGCTTCGGGAAGGGGCTGGTGATATCCATAGCAATTGCTTCCCGTCACCCAAGGGGCACTGGTAATGGGTGTAGCTCGCCGAACGGACGATGGTTGCGTGACTTGCAACGTCGACAGACTTCGCACGACTCACAATAGCGGGTGGCGTCCTTGAGAAGGTCGGGCCAATAGAACCGTTGGCGAAGTCGGCCAAGTGTACGGTTGACACCAAAATGTCCGGAGGCGGGCGCATCGTGAAACTCGCTAAGAAGCCGAGTGCGCAAGTGTAAATCATTCGGCACACAAAGAAGATCCTTACCCCGTGAATGCACAAGTAAGTAGCCCTCTTGGATCCGATAATGCGAAGGCACCGGATTCGGAGAGGAGCGATTCGCGTACTTGTCGCGAAAGTGGGGGTCGGCTTGATAGCCGCGGATGAAGCTCTCCCGCAAGTCGTCGTCGATCTCAAAGGTAGAGTAGACTGCGGTGCAAAGATCCAGTCGCCGTGAGAGGGCGTCCGCAAAACGGTTTGACTTCCCGGGAATGTGATCGGGGAAAAAGTCAAACTGGTCGATGAAAGTCATCCAACGGGCAATGGTACTGTTAATCGTGTCTTGCGACTTGTAGAATACCAACGGATTGTTATCYGTTACCCATCGGAATGCTTTCCGACCAAGGAGGAAATGTCGCCAACGCTTGAGGRCGTGGACGAAGGCAAGAAGCTCCTTCTTCCGTGCGTCGTCGATCGAATGCACGGAAGGTACTTTCTTGCTAAAGTACTCGATCGGGTGCCAGTCCGTGCCATCGTGCTGCTCAAGGACGGCCCCAATGCCATAGCCCGACGCATCGGTAGTGACGCGCGTAGCTAGAAGCGGGTCGTAAATATGTAACACCTCGGCGGACAAGAGTGCCGCTTTGAGTGTCTCAAAAGAATGGCACGCGTCGTCGTCGAAGTCAAAAGGCCGCTCCTCGCTTTGTAACTTGCTTAGGTTTGCCGCGATCTTCGAGTAACCCTTGATGAAGCGCTGATAATAACCGGCCAAGCCGAGGAAGGATCGGACGTCCGTCACATTCTTCAGCTCGGGCCACTCCTGGATGGCTTGAATCTTGTCCGCCAACGGACGAATGCCTTCCGGAGAGACAAAATGACCCAAGTATTCAAGCTCTTGCCGGACAAACTCGCATTTGTCGCGGTTAGCTTTGTTCCGGGCTGACCGAAGAGTCTCTAGAACACGGCGAAGGTGCTCGAGATGCTCCTCTAGAGTTCGACTATAGACGAGGATGTCGTCTAAGTAGACCAAAACGAAGCGGTCCAACATAGCACGAATGATCATGGCCGCCTGAAAGGTGGCCGGGGCATTGGTGAGGCCAAAAGGCATAACTACCCACTCAAAATGCCCATATCGCGTCTTAAACGCGGTTTTGTACCGATCTTGCGGGCAGATGGAAATCTGATGGTAGCCCGACTTGAGGTCCAACTTCGAAAAGTACTTGGCGCCGCCCAACCGCTCAAGCAAATCGTCAATTCGAGGTAGAGGCCCCGCGTTCTTGATGGTTTGCGCGTTGAGGCGTCGGTAGTCAATGCAAAGTCGAAGGTCCTTGTTCTTCTTCCGAACGAAGAGAACGGGCGCACCGTAAGGTGAGCTGCTAGGGCGGATCCAACCCTTGTCAAGTAGATCGTCGAGTTGCGCACGGAGAACCGTGAGCTCCTCCTCGGACATGCGATAAATGCATCCTTTCGGTGGCACGGCGCCGGCCTCAAGTATGATCTCGTGAGAGATTGGCCGGTCCGACACTATACCGGAGGGACGGCGCCGGCCTCAAGTATGATCTCRTGAGAGATTGGCCGGTCCGGCACTATACCGGAGGGTGCCTCAAAAACATCCGAGAACTCGTCTAACAACCGGGTCACAYGGGGGTCGGAAGMCACTTCTGTRGACGATGAATCGGTCGTCGGGACGGTTCGAAGCAAAGCGATGCCAATCTCTTCGACATGCTCSGAACGRCATRTGTCTCGGAAAGATTTGGCACTCACGACTTGGCACCTAATGGAAGAGCGAGGAGGAGGAATAGTACACGGGACCTCGGCGCCAGTTGCATCACGAATCGTGAGCGTGCGTCGATGGAAATTGACCGTGTGGTCCGCGCTAGAACGCCAAGGCATCCCCAAAATGACATCGAAGTCGGTGTCCAACACGTCAAAAGTGACGGGTTCACATGCGTGCGGTGCAAAGTACACCGGGACAGCCGAGATGTAACGGTCTAAAAAYWGTTTCGTCTTACCGTCGGCAAGAGCGACCGTCGTCGGATGTGACTTCCTCCGTACTTGTGCGCCAAGGCCAGCCCGAGTCATGAAGGACTGGCTGATGAAGTTGCGAGTTGCGCCGCAATCYAGCAAAGCGTTGCAGRCCGCTTGCCCAATCTGAATGCGAACGTAGAGCAACGGTGCGTGGTTTTCTTCGTACCGTTGCGAGACAAACTCGCGGGCCACCTTGGCAACGTAGCCAAGCATGTCCCCCACCGCGACTTCGTCTACCGTCGGCGAAGTTGGTGGTGCATGGAAGGAAAGATACAGGTGTAAGAGGGCGCATAGGGCTGCGCTTTGCGGTCCCGGAAGGTTTGCCAGTCGTAGGGAGAGGAATCCAAGCGAAGTCCTCGGGCGTGAGCGGGTCCAAAGCCTCCTCGTTGAACACGCTTGCCGAATCCCTTGATGAAGACGAATTGGCGGAAGAACCTTCAGACGGTGAGAAAGCCGCACATGTATCTTGTCCTTGAGAAGCATCCAGTGAAGGAACGAGCCGGGCAGCAAAGTCTTCGAACGAAAGTGGAAGACTCCCGACATCCGCATATGCCTCGGAAGAAAGGGCGGTCGTGCGCACAACCGCTTCCGATGGCGTCGAGGGAGGTGTCGAGTCACCCTCGGYGGCGCCTRCTTTCCCTGACGGGGTTTCCCCTTGGTRGGGCAATGTGCAGCATCGTGGATGGTGCTGTTGCACCAAAGGCAGTAACGGTACTTGAGTCTCGTGCAATAAGAATTCGCCGAGAGTCCGTATTGTGCCCAAGGTTCGTCGGCGGCTGATCCGGTGCTCGGTGTAGAGGTGGACTGAGTCTTCGTCTTGTCGCGGCCGTGGTTGTTGCACGGCCGGCCACCATCCCGGGCAGCTGCCAACACTTCACCCTCGTTTGGTGTTGCAGCCTCGGTAGAAGTAATGCAAGCCACCTTTGGCTTGGGCTGGGTGCCGCTCGTCGTCGCGGAAGATCGGCCGGCGTTGCGGGCTTCGATATTCGTGAGAATGATCCGTGACGCGGTGCTAAAAAGCTTGTCGGATGTGTCGAGTGTCTCTGCAATCTGCGTCAGCGCGTTTTGCAGAGCTGGACACGAGCGCATGATAAACAAGTGCTTGATGGCGCGGAATGCGAGCGGCAGGTCAGGTGTGGAGGCGAGTCTTTGGAACTCGGTAATCCAGTCCTGACTGAGCAGCGTGTTCTGATGGAGCTTGTTGAGCTTGTCCATCGCTTGCAGGTCGGGCGGCTCCACTTGGAATCGCTTGTGCCAAGCGTCAGTCAACTCCTGCCAAGTGAGCTTGATGTGCAGTTCCGACACTGCTACGCCTTGGCTGGTCAAGATGTTGTCCAGCCATGCTTGACACGCACCACCAGATCGGTGATACAAGCACGGATGTCGATCGTTGTTCGGGACATGGTGCATGTCGAGCCTGAGAGTAAACTGGCGCCACCACGGGATCGRTTCCGTCTTGGACTGATCGCAGAAAACTGGAATGTCATCCAGTTTGGGTGGGCGCCGGGAGGATGCGGCGGCGGGCGTCGCGGTGGCAGCAGCCTGGACCTGCGTCTCCAACTGCAAGTTCGTTGCTTGCTGCGACGTCCGGAAGTCCTGATGCACACGCTTGATGTTGCTGACGTCATCCTCCAAAACTTGCACACGGGTGGTAAGGGTGGAAGGCCCTGCGGCTGCTACAGCAGCTGGCTGTTTCTCCAACGCCTGCAGYCGTGCGAGCATCTGGTCCACTGTCTGCTGCAGGTGAAGGATTTYCTCCTGCTGCAGAGCGCAGGTGGCCACGWGGTCGTGGGAGACCTGCGCAAGGGCTGACAGCCCTTTCTCAGTCTCCGGGGCCCCGTTTGCAGATGTCACTTCCACCCAATGTGCGGCCTCATCGCCGATCACGGTCCCCCGCGTGAACAGTCGTTCCCGCTGGCGTGACCGGCGTTCGGCTGCCGCCTGTAGGTCTGCCTCTTCTTGACGAAGTCGGTCCTGTTCCTCCTTCTGTCGCTTGGCCTCCTCCTCCTGTTCGAGCCGATTACGTTCCTTGGCCGCGGCGGCGGCCCTATCGTTGGCCTCCTGAATGAATGTCGCCAGGCGTTCCTCATAGACCGGGAGGGATTCTCCCGCCTTCCGGTCCATGGCCTTGGTCTGTGATCGGGTGAGCAGTGTCATGCACTGCTTTGCCCGAAGTCCGAAGAGTCACCCAAGGGCCAATCTGATGGACTGGCCCAGTACCCGGACTGGAGGGGGAGGAATAGGTAGGAAGCAGACAAGTGGGAAGGATCGGATAGATCCCAATTTGAACAGTTTCCTAATCAAAAAGAAGAAAAACAAAACTTTAAAATTCGGAAAAAGTCTGTCCAATCCCACTGAGTACCGAAGGTGATGCAGAAAGCAAATGTGAACCTTTGGTGCTCGGACTGCAGAGAATCAGAAAGAAGGGTCTTTATAACTCAGAGTAGGAGTAGGTTGCAAAAAAAAAAAAAAAAAATGAAGTTTTTTTTTTTTT